AAAAAAAACAGCACAATTTTATCACGAATGTGCTACAGTTGTATCTAGAACTGTACCGTATGCTGGCGGGTACCTGTAAATTGCCTGAGTCCCATTCGTGAAAATGGTATCTTAAAAAAGACTTAGTACATGACTACATGGTATAATTGTTTGCTTTTTCCGTAAAGTTCCGAAAAGCAGGAAAACAAAAAAGAATGCGGAGATCTTAATTTACAAGTGTTTACTTGTGGAGAATACTCTAGTACATAAATAGTACCAGCTGTGTAGACAAAGCAATGCTTCACATTCCTAGCACAATACAAAAAGTGGCAAGAGTAGAATTTGGGAAAGGATTTCGACAACCATAATAACAAAGATCATTCCGAATGCGTATACTCGTAACAGTTAAATTCACAACGGAGCGTTTTCAAAAACGCGGAGCAAAATGAGATGAGATCGACATTTTCAATTGATAATCACAACAGAAATACTTCATAACAGCAGTTACTCAGTTTCGTACATGCTTTTTTCCGATGCTTTTCGATTTACGTCTTCTTCCTGTGACTTCTTCCCTGCACCTTTCTCTGAATTCGCCTTATCGAAATACTTCAGATGAGTGCCAAGGGCAATAGACACAACGCTGATGAGAAAAATGAGGATTTCGATAGCTGTTAAAACTGATGCCCCTAAGATAGACAAAATCAGTTTTTTAAGCGTTGGTGGAACAAAAAGCTTTTGGACGCTCACCCAGCCATAATCCCATTTGTCCTCCAATGTCAGAAATCAGGTTAACAAATGAATATGACTCAGATTCTCGAAGCACCTCATAGCTCATCTGTTCATAATAGATTTCCAGCATAGCAGCATGCTCACTAAATTATTTAAGTTTTTTGAAACTTTAGAAAATAAAACTCAAAAGTTAAGGATTAGCTACCGTAGGAAGATCATAATGTAATTTTATACACTACAAAATCGCTCTAAATCTACTACAGAAAGTCTGGGAAAATAGGTCTGTCACATACTCTGAAGCATTTAAGATCTACAACGCTTAATCCTTTGAATAAACTGGATAGTTTGAGTGGCTGCTAGACAATAACGTTAGTGATAAGAAATCAACCTTTTGAGTAAACTAGATTTTTATATCTCTTGAAAAATGAACAATGATTCTATGGGAAATTATCAGCATTGGTGCAGCTGGCATGCAAGTTGTCTTGATAGAAATACGGCTTTACCAAGTATCAGTCTACATTGAGTAAAAAACATTTATAATAGGTAGTGTTGTCCAAGAGGACAATAATTTTTCGACTATCCTTTTTAAGGCAGATATACAAGTGGAAAAAGAATTCGAAATATACTCTGTGATATTTTATTAATCGCCAAAATTTGAATTTTCTCCAACGATTTACCTATAGTACGAATTGCAATCCTTTTCAGCGCATTCCATCCGAACACTTTTCGATGGCCATTTGGCGGCTGAATACGTGGTAGTATAGACGTCCTGCTTACAAGCATGCGTACATCGGCAAGATTTCCTTTTTGTCATTCGTACACTCTCGGCCAGCAGTCAATCTCCTGTTTTAAAGTATTTAAAACGTATATCGTAGCAGCTAGCTTGCTCACTTACTTATAGGCTCA